GTGCCGGAGGCGGTTCCGCGGTAGCTGCCAGCGAACCGGTCCCGTCGATCGTCAAGAAACCCCAAACGGCAGAGAGCGCTTCCTCCTCGACCTCCTCTTCTTCCTCCACTTCCTCGCCAGTTTCGGCGAAGAAGGCGGCTACCGATAGCTCGACTAAGTTCGAGCAGGCTACCTTGCGGCCAGGTGGAGTGGAGATGAAAGTAGTACGCTTCGATCCAAATACGGAGCAAGGCCAGGCGCTAGCGGATCAACACATACGCGATGATGCTACCAGGTTGAATCCCGTAACCGTAGGAGAGAAAGACGAGTCCCAATATAATCGTTATCTACCGCTCAAAGTGAGTGGTGCTTCCTTCCCTATTCCGGACGTGCCGCAACTTAATGGTCGGAAGATCTCTAGCGTAGTTGTATTGGCACCCGTCGACTATAACTTTCATGAGGAAAAAGAGATTGAATCGAGGCAAGGCAGAAGGGTCAGCGATGTGCAAGCGGTCAAGTTTCTCGCCGGCGATACTCTGAAACAACTGGTGAAAAAACCAACGGCGGACAACTACAAGAAGTGGTTGGAGCAGGAAAGCCGAACGGAGCCGCAGAAACAGTCGGTGGTTCTATTGGTAACCATGTAAGTGATAGACATGAGTTCGATGCCATAACTAATCACGCTTACCTATACTCGTTTGCTTTTGTTAACTCGACCATTAGCTTTAAACGACACATACAATTATTCTTTAACGAGCCATATTCTCCGTCATCCATCGTCATCTTCCATGAACGTTCTATTCGATCCGCTTCCGCGAACATCTCTCCCAGCAATAACGATCAAAATCGCCGGACTTCACTTTCCTTCGGCTTTCAAATAATCATCGATGATATTGCAGGCCAGAGGGCGCGGATCAAGGCGAGAAGGAAATCTTCATGTATGATGTGACCTCGCAAACTGTGAGCAAACTGGCCGGAGATCTATCTACAGCGTTTGTAGATGCTGCTGAAAGTAACTCCGACAATACCGACTCTTTCACCGATTCAACTCTTTCATCGTTTTAAGTACTCCACGAGAATGAATACTATGGCACACCATAGTAGAAATTTAAGCAATAAATGGGAAAAGAAAGAAGGTTTAGCGTGCCAAGTCCGAAAATAACACACAAACCCTTCTCTGTCATCTCACGTACTTTAAAATTACAATGAAACCGGAACAAGGTTTAAAAAAGGTAAAGGACATAAAAATACAAGTATCCTTGTAGATATTTTAATTATGTACTATTATGTATATACTGATTTTATACTTTTTTTATACAAAATAAACGCAATATTTTTTTTACATGTAAATCATCCGCTTCCTTATAAAGAAACTCTTCTAATCGAATATCGTAAGTTCGAACATGCACCGTGCAAATTCAAATTTTGTCGTAACCCTCAGCGATAATTACGAAGTTGTTGTTAACTCGATTCAGTTCAAATTAATTAATACGTTTAAAAGTTAGTAACAATTTCAATTAGATCGCCCATGTATACAATTTCATTTCATCGTTGTTAACAAAGTTAAGACATCCACCATTGCAAATCTAATTTACGCGAAAGATATAATTAATTGCATCTTTTATAAAGATGCCAACAAATGCTTTAATAATTATAATTTATCATATTTTTGCAATAGACATAAAGTAATATTGCAACTACTACCATTAGGAGTGAAAGAAAAAAGATATTAGCACCGTTATAGTCATTTAAACCCAACAATCTAAGTACATCTGTAATAACATGTTACGTAAATTTTTGATAATATGATTATAGAATCGTCTACGATAAAAATATTTATGTAAGTGCATTATGGCATACTATATCTTCATCTTTATAAAACTATGTGCAACTAGCGTATAACCGTATATGCACACAAACATATATATATGTATGTATATTTCATTATTTGAAGTTTCGTACGCATGGTGGCAGTGTGTATAGTGCAATTAAACGAATGGTTGGTGTTTTTAATTAAAAAAAGTAGAATTTAGAACACATTTAGATATCAACTGAGAAACGTAAGCATAAAATATTATTTTCTATATGTGTATATTAATATATTAATGTGTGTATTAAAACTCACAGTGTTTATAACAGGCTGTTTTGTTACTAGCATAGGTTATCTTGTCCTCGCATCGTTTCGTATCAAGATGTTAGAAGACTGACTTCGTTGAAGAAATTATATCGACAAAAGTATAAAAATGTCTAGCAGTAGTTCTGAAAGTAGTGACGATAGCCATCACGAAAAGTCACGGAAAAGACGTAAACACAGACACCCTAACCAAGACAGACGATCCAGCAAAAAGGAATCGAGCAGCAAGAATAAAAGTTACAGAGACAAGAGAGAAGGTAGGGACGTTCACAAATTTAGCAGAAACGTAAGAAGAGAAAATAATGATGTGCATTATGATAGATCGCAAGGCGAACGGGATAGGTTATATAGGGATAGCCGACATGATCACCTGAGGAGAGAAGAGGATAGACAATATGATAGAAGAAGATATGAGAGATCTCCTCCAAGAAGAGAGGAATCTCGTCCACGATACAGAGACTATGAAGAAAAAACAAGGAGACAGAGAGGCCCTATTGAATATAATAAGAAACATGACAATGTCAACAAAGAAACAAGGAATAATTTGGAAGAAGTAAAAGTAAGAAACCAACCATCGCCAGAATGGGGCAAACCTAATGTTAAAGCTGAAGCTAAGCCAAAGCTGGAAGAGAAAGATAAGCCAAATTTTGAATTATCTGGAAAACTGACAGAAGATACAAACACTGTAAACGGTGTGGTTATTAAATATTCCGAACCTGCAGATGCGAGAAAACCTAAACGAAGATGGAGGTTATATCCGTTCAAAGGAGAAAAAGCGTTACCTACTTTGTATATCCACAGACAGTCAGCCTATTTAATGGGCAGAGATCGCAAAGTTGCTGATATTCCCTTAGATCATCCTTCGTGCTCTAAACAGCATGCTGTTTTACAATATCGTTTAGTATCTTTTCAAAAGGAAGGTGGAGGTGAAGGAAGAAGAATTCGCCCTTATCTTATAGACCTAGAGTCTGCAAATGGTACATTTGTAAATAATGTAAAATTAGAACCAAGAAGATACCATGAACTATTAAAAAGGGATGTAATCCGTTTTGGATTCAGTTCTAGAGAATATGTTTTATTACATGAACATAGTAAAGATGATTCATTTGATGATGATGTTCCCTCAACTACTACAAGTATACCTACTCTTACTACTACTGCATAGGTAATACTGCATTTCATGCTGTGTAATATTTCTTAAATATTTTATTTTTTTGCAGAAATCTATTTAATTGTATATTCTATTTCAGTTTCGACTTGTAAAATATTTAAGAAGCAACTTTTAAGTATTAGAATTAGTTTATAATTATCTTTAAATTGAGTTATAAGAAAGATTAAAAAATTCAGATCTTCTGGAGCATTTACGACAGTGCAATATTTATTCTGATAATATTTTTTAGTTCTTAACAGAAAAAATTGTTAGTGTACAAGTTTGACATTTCATGTAATTAGGAATATAAATTGATTGTAATAAATCAATCTTGAAATACACACCTATTATAATTTATTCATTTATATCAAACGCTTTATTCTCCCAAACTTATTAGACAATGCATTTTATATGTTATATACGATTCTATAACAGCATTTGCATATAAAAACAAACATCTAAAAAATCATATAATATACATACATACATATAATTTGTCCAACGTGACGAGATAGTAAATATAAAAGAAATGTGCTTACTGCAGCAGCCAATAGTTGCAGCCACAGTAATTAAATTTTGCATACATTTACTGCCTCCTGGCTTCCTTTGAAGCATCCGAAGCTCGGATTTCAGAGCGCCCGATCCAAGTTTCGTTCTGTTTGAAAGCGAACCCATAGGCCTGGACCAATCGTGATTTCCATAAACTCACTGTTTTTAAAATGGGTATAAAACTATCATTAAAAAAAATTGCGCGTGTAACAGCTGTTATTATTTGTTATTAGCGATTTTGTTTTGACTAACATATTTCTGTTTACGGCACGAACATGCTCTATCCTGTCTGGGAAATCCCGGATGTGCAGTTCCGAAACGAGTGGTGGGGAGAGCATGATGGCCGAAACTCAACGGTTGGTGGGGAGAAGCGGCATTGTACTACGACAGTCTTTAACAGACCGCCGTGCCGTGAGGGGGCTGTGTTTCAGTCTCAACAAATGTAAGTAAAGTGCTAAATAACACTGACGCTTGATCGAGGTTAGGTTAAACTATTAAATCTCCTCCGTGTTGAGCGTTAAATCATTCGAAGTACGTGATATCGACCGATTGATTTGACTTGTCCGGTTGCTATTTAATCGAATTCGCAACAAGATCCTCACAATGAGTAGAAATAACAACAAAGAAGTACGAGTAAAGAGAGAACGTTCGCCAGAATGGGGTAAACCTAGTATTAGTGCGAAACGTAAACCAAAACAGGAAAAAGAAAAACCAAATTTCGGATTGTCTGGAAAACTAACAGAAGATACGAACACTGTAAACGGTGTGGTTATTAAATATTCCGAACCTGCAGATGCGAGAAAACCTAAACGAAGATGGAGGTTATATCCGTTCAAAGAAGAGAAAGCATTGCCTATCTTGTATGTTCATAGACACTCAGCTTATTTAATGGGCAGAGATCGCAAAATTGCGGATATTCCCTTGGATCATCCTTCATGCTCTAAGCAGCATGCGGTTCTACAATATCGTTTAGTACCTTTTCAAAAAGAAGGTGGAGGCGAAGGGAAAAGAATTTGCCCTTATCTTATAGACCTAGACTCTGCAAATGGTACATTTGTAAATAATGTAAAATTAGAACCGAGAAGATATCACGAATTATTAGAACGGGATGTAATCCGTTTTGGATACAGCACCAGAGAATATGTTGTATTACACGAACATAGTCAAGATGATTCGTCAGATGATTAAATATTTCAAATACAACTGCTGCTCGTTCTACTGTGTATATAATATCAAGATGATTCGTCAGATGATTAACTATTTCAAATACAACTGCTGCTCGTTCTACTGTGTATATAATATCAAGATGATTCGTCAGATGATTAACTATTTCAAATACAACTGCTGCTCGTTCTACTGTGTATATAATATCAAGATGATTCGTCAGATGATTAACTATTTCAAATACAACTGCTGCTCGTTCTACTGTGTATATAATATCAAGATGATTCGTCAGATGATTAACTATTTCAAATACAACTGCTGCTCGTTCTACTGTGTATATAATATCAAGATGATTCGTCAGATGATTAACTATTTCAAATACAACTGCTGCTCGTTCTACTGTGTATATAATATCAAGATGATTCGTCAGATGATTAACTATTTCAAATACAACTGCTGCTCGTTCTACTGTGTATATAATATCAAGATGATTCGTCAGATGATTAACTATTTCAAATACAACTGCTGCTCGTTCTACTGTGTATGTAATATTGCATTTTATAAATCATAATATTTCTTAAACATTTATTCATTTATATGTTTTATTTCAGGATATTAGTTGGAAGAAGGTTCGAGAAAGAAGTTATGACACATAATCACATAGCTATTTAGGTATCGTCTACCACTATAGCTAAGGCTAATTTGTGATTATTCTTAAATTGTACAATGTAAGATATTAACTAGACTCATGTATATAATATTTTTTACATTTTATCTAATTAGGGATGTAAGTTAATTCTAATAAGTTAATTGTACAATGTAAGATATTAACTAGACTCATGTATATAATATTTTTTACATTTTATCTAATTAGGGATGTAAGTTAATTCTAATAAGTTAATTGTACAATGTAAGATATTAACTAGACTCATGTATATAATATTTTTTACATTTTATCTAATTAGGGATGTAAGTTAATTCTAATAAGTTAATTGTACAATGTAAGATATTAACTAGACTCATGTATATAATATTTTTTACATTTTATCTAATTAGGGATGTAAGTTAATTCTAATAAGTTAATTGTACAATGTAAGATATTAACTAGACTCATGTATATAATATTTTTTACATTTTATCTAATTAGGGATGTAAGTTAATTCTAATAAGTTAATTGTACAATGTAAGATATTAACTAGACTCATATATATAATATTTTTTACATTTTATCTAATTAGGGATGTAAGTTAATTCTAATAAGTTATCTATGATTTGATTAGCTGTCATCCTTTCTTGTCTATCTTCTGCCTCCACTTGCGTCCTTCCCTCTCTCGCCTCCTCTAACCTCATCTTTTTTTTCCTTGCTCTTTTCCCTTCTTGGCGCTTTCCTCAATTCCTTTCTCTCTCCTTTATACACTCCTTTACTAATTCCTTCTTAGATTCTAAGGCTTTCTCCTCATACCTTACTGCTCTTTTCAGTGCCTTTTCTCTTATTTCCTCTATCTTGCACTCCTCTCTCAGAATGTAATTCGGCGTTGTTGTGTCTAAGCCTAGAATTCATCTCATGTACCTCCTTTTTATTCTGTCCAGTCTCTCCTCTACGTTCAATCCCCACACCTCTGTTCCAAACAGCGTTACATTCTCTACCAGTGCTCCAAACATCCTCATTCTCCTCTTGTAGTTCCTTTTAAATATCCTTTCTCCTACGCTCCATGTCTTCTTCATTGCAATTATTGCCTTTTTTTTTCTGTCTTGAATATGCTTCTCATCACTTCCATTTTTCTGCAGTATGTACCCTAAATACCTTATTTAAAAACCTTATTTCGTCCACTTCTTCTAGTTCTTGCTTACCCCATCTCCATTTCCCTTGTCTCCTATTGTTCCTTCTCTTTTCAAACACTACTACTTTCGTCTTTTTCCTGCTCAATCCCAGTTCCACTTCCTTCAGGAATGTTTTAAATCTCTTCATCATTTCCTTTAACTCCTCTTCTCTGTCCGCTACCAATACAATGTCATCTGCATATGATAGAGACCATACCTTTCTCTCTCCTACCACTATACCTCCTACTTGACCTTCCCTTATTTCCTCTTCCAGCCGTGCCACATAGATGTTAAATAGTGTCGGGCTCAGCGGACACCCTTGTCTCACTCCCCTCACTGTCCAAAACTCTTTTGTATTATGGTTCCTGGTTCTCACTACGTTCTTTGTCTCCTTGTATATCTCCTCCATCCTTCTGGTTAACTTCTCGTTAACCCCCATTCTCCTCATTATCTCCCCCAGCTTCTTCCTATTGACCCTATCAAACGCTGCCTTTAAATCCGCGAAGCATACATATAGCTTCCCTCTTTCTCCGCTCAATTGTTTGTCTATTATGTGGTTCAATACGTATACTGCGTCTATCACTCCTCTTCCTTTCCTAAATCCGAATTGACTCTCTCTCAGCTCGTCTTCGATCTCCACCTTCAGCCGCTCGTCCAGAATTCCTGCATAAATCTTATATGCCGTGTCCATTAACATGACCCCTCTGTAGCTCTTCACTGCTTCCTTGTCTCCCCTCTTGTAAATCGGACATATTACATCTTTTCTCCAGTCTTCAGGTATCCCCTTTCCATTCCATATTTTCCTTAACATCTCCCATAACGCCTCCCCCACTTCCTTCGGCGCATACTTCCATACCTTGTTTCCCAAACCATCTCCCCCGTTGCTTTTTCTCTTTCAAGTTTTTTATTTGGAATATCACTTCCTCCTTCCCTATGTTGTCTTCTCTCTCCTCCTTTGATTCCTCCTTTGATTCCTCCTCTGCTCTCCGCTCTTCTATTCTTCTGTCCTCTTTACTTTCTGTCCCTTCTAACATTTCCATACAATAATTTTTCCACTCCTCTTCCCGTATATCTTCGTCTATAACTTCTCTGCTTCTTCTATATCTTCTCTGCTTCTTCTATATTTATTTATGTATTTCCATGCTTCTTGCTCTGTTTTGATCTTGTTGATTTTCTTCATTTCTTCCTCTTCCTGCTTCTCCTTTCTTTGTTTACACCACTGTTTAAATGCCTTCTTCTCCTCTATGAATTCTTCTCTGCTGCATTTTCCTTTCCTAAATTTTGTCATTTTCCTTCTTATCTCTCTTTTCCTCTCTCTCCATTCTTTGTCGTACCATACTTTTTCTCTTATGCTCCATTTCCTTATCCTTATTATCTTCTTTGGTATTGCCTCGTTTATCTTCTTCTTAATTTCTGTCCATATTTCCTCTACTGTTCTTCCTCTGCTTGCCCAGTCTTTACACTCCTCTAAATATCTTCCCACACTTTCTTTTGTCCATTCCCTTCTCTCCTTCTCTTCTTCTTTTCTTTTCTCATCTCTTTGTAACTCTGGCCGCTCTATTTTTATTTCCAACGGCATGTGGCCTGACTCTATTCTTTTTCATACCTTCATGTCTGTTATTACTTCTATCGCTTCCTGATTGCCAACCACGTAGTCTATTACCGATCTACATGTATATGTAAAACTTAACAATTCCTTAAACGTAATATGAATATCAGTTTCCATAATATACTTTATATTACCGCTAATATGAAATTTGTACAATGAATGGTGAAAATTTACTCGTACTTACGTGTCAATAAATAAATACATTAGTTGTAACGACAAATATAAAACTATCGCAGATTAATCACCACATAATTCTCTATAGCGATTCTCGATTCTTAGATGCTAAGCAATAAGTCTGGTGGTCAACTAAAATTAATGCTATTATCAAATAAAATCTTTCTGCCACAGTTCATGTAAAATAAATTATGAATACATTTACAGCCTCCTGGCTTCCTTTGAAGCATCCGAAACTCGGATTTCAGAGCGCCCGATCTGAGTTTCGTTCTGTTTGAAAGCGAACCCATAGGCCTGGACCAATCGTG